CTAAATTTCTAATACGGTTAAATGTGTTAAAATTGTTTTTAATGTATAACCGATATAAGTAACTTTTACGAAATTTTAGACAAAGCAACCTATTCGTAAATTTATATCTGTAAAAGGTAAAAACCGATAATAAAATTTTTAGAAAAATTACTGTCAGATTGCAGAATTCATAACGTTAATAACAAAGTATAGTACTATTAAAAATCTCTCAATTTTATCAGTCTTTCAACAAATTTGAATTCAGTTTAGATTAACCAGAATGGCTGGGGTCATTATCAGATTTTAGGTTGAGCTTTAGTTACTCTTTTCTTTCTTGTACTAACAGGAATTTATAATTAAAGTTTTCATGCAAATGTTACTTTTTTGTGATTCAAGTGTAATCAAGTTCTATAGTGGTATTGTTTAGTCTAGAAGCACAAGTATGTAATTAATAATCGACAGCAGATTAGACGATATTCTTAACAGTTTTTCTAGGTTATATCAGTGCTTTTTCATTGAAATTCCATTACGTAATTAAACAGATTATTATACACTTTATATTTGTGTCTTCAAATGCTATTTCAATTGTCTATCCCAACGTTTACTCTGCCTCTTAACATAAGCAAAGTGATAAATATCTTAAGAAGATTTTTCTTGAGATGTGTGTTGTATTTGAATTATAAGACAGTCTCGATGATGTGCTAGATATCTTCATCAGTAAAGGTTTGGTACGTTTTCTTGAATTCCTTCTCACAAAATGACTCATACAAATAGTACCTCATAATACATTATTATTTTGATTAGAGCAGTGAAAAGTCATTAAATTCTCATCAATTTTAACCATCCGAGTAAAATTTTGGCAAACGTGTGCTACATAATACATAATTTAATTTTCAGTAATTTAAGTTTGCGGGTAATTATTTTGGCAAGAAGGAATTCCTGAAAATAGGTTTCTACATCTTATGGTGCATGGATTTAACATTCTCAATTAATAGGAAACGTAGATACTTATAATTTATTACCCATGTGAGCCAACAAAATGCTCCAAGTGTCGTAATGTAGTACACTGAGAATTCCAAAATGGTCATAATTTTTACTAACTTGTGTTTTCAAAATAGAAAATTATATCACCAAATGATAAAAAATCAAGGAGCCTTGAAGGACTACTTGAACTTGATTTCAAGTCAGTACAAGTCAAACTTTTAGCTCAAAATTAAGATCAAGTCGTGAATCCTTACGAGTGGTCCATTTAATCAACGAAATATTGCACATAATCTATGTTTTTACTGTAAGATATCACACACTTAAATTGATATAACACATAACTGACGTACATTGTTTATATCGTATTTTCTATATTATTATAAATTCAATGTACTGGTTTTTTATAATATATTACTTCAAATCCATGTGCCTCCTATATCCACATATTTAGTTCCACTGAACAGAAATAAAAACAGTAAATTCAGTGCACTACCAGTTTAATGAATTGAGACAATTTGCAGAATGTTAGTTCTTTACGTCAAAATATTTTCTTGCTTGTTCTCTGTATGTCAAGCTTTCTGTAATTCTTGGCACGAACTCTATTGAAAGTGCAACACACGGACTCGAAACATCTGTTTATGTCAATCAAATACCACAATACCCACGTCTCGGTCAAGTATATTTTCACGCTTATGGTTAACGTTTGAATAGGATATGCATTTAGGTACTGCTAAATAATAAAATGTCACAGGTAGAACAGAATATCTATTATCGAAAGAAAGTTATTGAGCTAACACTAGATATTCCAAGAAATTTTTAACCAAAAATTAATAATCTTAAAATACAGTCAATCTTAACCGCCCCTCCCCCCCTTTTTCAAATACGTTTTGGGAAAATTACAGAAGATACTACACATAAATTAAGAGGAAAAACGAGAAGAGTTAGAAGGATTTAAGGAAAGAAATATTGAGGAAGAGGATACTAAGGATCTGTAGAGAAAGTAAATAGAGTGGTAGCAAATACTTAGATGTTAACAATAGTTGCCTTTTAGCTTCTAATTGATTTTAAACAGTTTGCTTAATCAAGGATGTCGTTTTGATTTATTTTTAAATTAACTTTTTATCCGCCATACGATTCGGATTTACCACTTACCTAAGTAAGGTTACTGCTTCAATTATAATACAGTTTTATTGGCTTTAAATATTAATTACTGACAATGTAGGTACCTATTTAGAAGCAATTTAAATAAAAGAAGAAATATTGTAGGTACTAATAGTAAATTTGAACTTTATAAGCTTGTTTTCGTTCTGTTCTTCTCTCTTCTCTGTTCTTGTTGTGCGTCTTCATTTTCATTGTTTCTTCAATGTTGCAATCCAGGATGTTACGCTGTCTTCATCACGCATATAAATTCACGATAGATTTTGATAATTAAATAAATGATCACGAGAATCGCACATGAAAGCGACCGTTTAATACTCTAACATCTTAAAATAATATCACTCACGACTATAACTACTTTGTATAATTTAAATTTCGACGACTTACCTAGCGCGGAAAAGGATAACGGAAAACAAACACGACACGGGTCAACAAGGAACATCTAAATAATACACTTCTTACGCGAAATCTAGAAAATACCGCAACTGGGGAATTTCTTTAAATCTATGTTGCTATTTTAATAAATGTACGACGGGTTTTTGTACACCTAAATGTTTGCATTTTATACTAAACACTACGCGATATTAAATGAGGACGTTGCATTTGAACTGAAGGTTTACACTCTTGAAGTTGGCATCGCTGAAATATCTTCTCTCTTGATTCTTGCCATCTGATGGTGAAAAATACACACATGCGTTACATGGGGTTAAAAATAAAAGTAAAAGGAGGGTTATCCAAAGTGAGAATGTTAGAAATAAAAAAAGGATAATTGTGTACTGGTTCGAAAAAATAAAAAATACTCATAGTGTTACTGTTTAAATAATGCTAAATTTTGAAAAATAACATTAGTTAATTAATTTTTAATCATCCATACTGACGTGTAGAATTTCGTAGTTCAACTCCATCATACATGTTTAGATTGTGCGCTCTTGAATAATCGTTGACCGCTCGCTTTCCTATTAGAAATCATTATTTCACTTATAATAATTAGCATACATGCTACTGTATCTAATGATATACTGCATTTAAAGAAAATATGTAATAAAGTAAATGAATGAAAAAGGAGAGACTCGTCCCAATTTACCACAACGAACTTTATTGAGCGGACACACGTTTTGTCAATTTTTTTGAGACTCGAGTCTCATGTTGTTGATGATCACGTAAGGGATCAGTGAAACACGTATCCTCAGCTCAATAGAATTTATCATGGTCTCTCTTTTTTCATTTATTTAGTTACTACAGGTCTAATTTAGCGCTTCATAGTTGCTCATCTATTCAACGAATGTTTTAAATTTAATGTTAGCTAAAGTAAGTTTATTTTAAGGCTGACATAGTCTGAATTAGTGCCTGACACTTTAATAAATATGTAATATTTTCAACTTTCCTTTACACTTTATTCAGATTTAGAACTGGCAGAATTGTGCAAGCAAAACGGCGGGAGTATTTAACAGTAGAAAAGTTAAAAAGCTCCATCATAATATGTAAAGTTTTGAGAAACGTAATTTATAAAAATGCGGAAATTGCATTTGAGTCACACTCATTCTACTATATAAAGTTACACTAGTCTAACTTCTAGGTATGTATCAATGCCCTCAAGCATTTTCCCAAGTATTTATTAAGTATTTAAATTTTTATGGAATAGTGTTTATTGTTTCATCTCTTTTTACGTATTCAATTATTCTTTTCTTTTTCAAACAACTAATTTCAGTGAGTAAAAGAGCTCACATGATTTTCGGCATTATGACGATGCTTTTTAACTTTTATAATTTAAAACAGACCATTTTTTTGTCCAGAATAATAATAGAATTAACTACACTAAAACATAAACAATGCTAAAGCTTTTGTACATAAGCTTACGTATTTATTAAATTGTCGCGGCGCTACGGGCACGACACTCACAGTTAGGGTTGCCACCTTTTCAGGCTTTACATAAAGTATTTCTCGACTAAAAGGTTAAAAAAAGAAGTACTCAGCATAAAAATAAAGTAATTTTTTGTTTTTTTGTTACACCTAGCAGCCAGTAACAAATTGCTGTCACTCTTAAATACATTAATAGCTTCTAAACATGACAAACAAAGATTTAAGTAAACTAAAAGTTTATTTTTAATTAGTTTTAATGAAGCTTTATTCCTGTCATCCCGATGCTGAAGTGGGCGGAACGGATAGCAAAAGTGACACTACTCTGAACAGATTTGGGAAATTAGGTTATTCCGTAAATATGGCTTGCCATTTTTCTGTGCAATATTATTGATGTAAAAATACTCTGAATTTCGAATAATCGCTTACAAAATGTTTACTTAAGGCCTTAAATAATGTATTTTTGCATACTTTATGTCTTGTAAAGTATAACGTACGCACAGTCGAAATAGAGTACAATACTTTATAATAAAGTACGGGTGGCAACCCTACTCACAGTCTTAATTACGTGTCTTAATTATTTACGTTCTGTTTTCAGGAGTTTAAAGAGAAATTTGAAATGCTTATCTCTCTTTTTCTTTTTGTGTTTCTAATCTTCTGTTATAATTGTTTCAGTATCATTCCGATTTTGTTTTCGCGAACACCAAAACTGACATCAACCTCAGACGATGACTTAACATCCTACTAACTAACGCTAACCGATTAGTGTGATTCAGACTTGACAAATCACTTAACTGTCACATTTGTTGAATAAATGTAAGATGTCATGCACCCGTGCAGTGCTATCATACGTAATTTCACCCTGCAACTTGTATTATTGGAGTTACACGACAATGCAGTATTTCATTTTACATTACATTCGTAATTACAGCTATATATTATACATTAAGTAAGATAGTCAATGACACAAATTGTGCCAATTGTATTCTTGAGAAAACAAAACATTACAAAAAGCAACTTACCCTCGTCTATGCGCCGTGACGCTTCCTCTAAATCACCACGTGCGTCCTTTAAAATTGCATACATAAGAGGCATCATTTCCCAGGGATATTTAAATCGTTCTAATAACTTCTGGCAGACTTCCAGCAAGTCAGTAGTTTGTACTGTAACAATACAAATTAGCGTTAGTGGCCATACATTCTTGAACATAAGGCGCTATCTTAAAATAACAGCGAATTGATTGAGATACATTAAATGATGACATAGCCCATCACTGAAGTCCCACATGCAGCTCTTGGAACTGATTTGTCAAAGTTACTGAGGCAAAACGAAAGGAACGACAAGTGTAAATTAAACGATTTGAGTTAGCATATAACATTTATATATTTATATCTCAGATACGTCGATTTACATATTTATTTATCCAGTAAATACACACATACTTGTAATAATTATAAGTTTATTTGAACAATATTTTTGATCACGTATTTAAATAGTATGACGGTGGAGTGCTGCCCCTAATACTGGCCGGGGTTGAATTCACCCTAATCAGCAAACAGTGGCTACCGCCGGTGCCAGGGACAGTAGTTCAGTAGTTCTGATCCCCAGCCATATTCTTGATAACTAGTGGTAAAATGGCTATAATTTGCCGCTAATTCGTTCCCAAAAGATGGTACATAACGTACCTGAAAATATAAAGATAGGAGACGAAAAATTAGAGGAAGTGGCTGGTTTTACGTATCTAGAAAATCAGATAAGTTTGAGGATTGAGTCGCCTTCAATAAAAAGAAGTCACTTCAATGCTCGCGAACGATTAATTTATAAATTTACAACAGATTGTTAAAGCAGTATGTTTGGAGTGCGACGCTGTACGAGTGCGAAACATGGACGGTGGACGCGACGGAAAAGAAAAGATTAAAAGCGTTCGAAATGTGGTGTTATAGACGAATGATGAGGATACCGTGGATAGAGAAAGTCAAAAATAAAAAAGTATTAGAAAGAATAGGAGAACAAAGGACTCTATGGAAGTTAATAAGACATAGACGAGATACGTTAGTACTACACCTTTTCAGGCTTGAAGATCTAGTCAGAGACATATTAGAGACAGAAACAGGTGTTAAGAGGAATAGAAGTAGGTAGACCTAAATTAGATTATTATTCACAAATAGTTAAGGATGTGGGATGTTCTGGTTTTAGAGAAATGCGAAAATTAGTTCAGGATAGGAAACAGTAGAGATGCGTGTCCAACCTTAAGACTGACAACTTTATAATGATGATGAATTTAGTCTACCCCCATTTCTCTTAACTCGTCCATCTGCTTCTAATATATGTATCTAATCTTCATGGCTGAGAAGGTGTCCTACCACCCTATCTCGCTATTTCTTATTGACTTTCATAGCGTTTTTTATTCTACTCTTACTATTATTTCTTAATTTCTGACCTGTTTTGTTTACCACCTGTAACAACATTTCGAACCCTTCTTGAACTGTTTCTTTTTAACCGTGTCGATAGTTCACGTTTCACAGCCTTATAGAACCGTACCCTTTCACAATCTTTTTCGAATTTTAGAATTAACCGTTCTCGAGCATTGAAATGGCTTGTTTTTGCTAAAGGCGCTATCCTTTGTTTTATATATTCGATCCTGAATTATCTGAGTTCCTTTCGATATCGAAAATCAGCGATGTAGAAACGGCGTAGAGAAATTCTGTAATGGCTGTAATTTGTCTATTGTTTATTAACCGACTGGAGCGACAAATTTTTGGATTTGGCAACAAATCAGCGACAAATTATGGTTCACTTTAGAAATACGAAATATAACTTTGTTGTGCTAGCTTAGCGTAGGTACCTATACATATGTACTCTTGACCATGCTGCTATCTTCATACTCTGTCGAATTTCAGTTTGCTGTGCGCACGTAACTTCCGTTGCCTATTAAAATTCTACTCTGATACGCCAAAAACAAGTTTAAATTCAATAAGGATACTTTCCTCTTAATTACGACGGAACATGGTACATACAAAAGGCTTGGTAAAAGGAGTTATTTAAATTAAGTTTTTAATTTGTTTTGTGTAAAACCATAACTTGGTGTGCATATATATATAACAATTAAAGGTTTAATCTTTTAATGGAGTTCACTGTAAATGTCCGCTTGGAATTTCGGATTTTTTTAATTAGCTGTGTGTATTTAATCTTTAGCTAAACAGTAGGTATATCCTTTAGGTGATCGTTTGCTTTTATACATCATAAACAAGTCATTAGCAGTTTTCTTTTCCTTTCTTACACTTATTCGTGTTCACAATAGAAGTAGGCAAAAGTGACTGGCAAAGTGCTTAATGGTGAATTATTCATTAAAGCGGGCATACAAACGTGCTTATACAGCACACATGCATTCAAACGACTGCCACGTATAGTACTGTTACGAGCGCGTTCTCTTGAAGTCCATCAACTATTTAAAGAATTAGTTTAATTGTCTAGCGGCCAATCGCAGCTTACTAACTATCTGACCCCACCTCAATGAGAATGGTTGTGGCCAGTAATAAGGCCGACTAATTATTTTTAAAAAAGCGAAGGTAGCAGCCAATAGCGTGATTATACAAGAGGAAGAAGTTCATTAATTCAAAGCCTTAGCCGCTCTGTGGCTAATCTGTTCGTCTTTCTCATTAGCCATGTTAACAGTTTGTCTTGAAATGACTTTCCACATGTTAACCTTTCTTAGAACATAATAAAAGTGTTTCTGAGAAACGTCACATCAGATTTTCGTGGTTCATCATCACCAAGCATCATAGAAATGTATGTAACAGGTGGAAATTGGATAATTCGCAAAACAACTTGGTAATACGCTTTCTTCCCACCCTCTTGTGGTTGCAAATGGTGTCCGTCCTGATCAGAGGATCTAGGATCCTTTCTATACATAACCTCACCTCCAAAAGGTGAAACTAAAACATTTAGTAAGCGTATTAAGTGTCTATTACCCGAATTAAGTCCATTTCTGCCTATTAGTAAGTAAGGTGACCATACGTCCCGGATTGGCCGGGACAATCCCGGATTTCCACCTTGCGTCCCGGATTTTTCTAGAAGCAATATTTGTCACGGATTCAGGTTTTTTGTCTCGAATTTTTGAAAAAGTTCTTATTTTCAATATTTATTTTAAATATATTTCAAGTAGAATTTTACGAAAATTAGCAGAGTTCTTTTTCTGCCTGCCTGGCACAAATGCTTCTACGGAAAGAATATTTTCTTTAATGAATAGCCTTTGGACAAGTGACAAGACTC